TTTTATGAAAAAATATAGATATATTTAAAAAGTTTCCAAGATATTTAACACCACACTATTTTTCAGTAAAAAATTTCGAATTTTTGATCTCTTTTTTGCCGAACTTACTCTAGAATAGTTGTTTTGAAAACATTTGTTGTCAAAAATGCGTGGTATATTTTGAGTATTATTCATTACTCGTATATAGGACCCATAATAACGGCCGGTTATCACACGCAGAGCGGGATAAGTAATATATAGATCCAGTGTAATAAGTAGATTTGTCCTTGGTTCGAAAACACAGGTGTATTGTGTGCGCCTGTATAAATGTGCTGTCTCATGCTAGCTGACTGAGTTCAATTCCTGAATCTGCTGTCATTTTTAAATTGAAGATTTGCTTGCTGTCGAAGATCAATACGTGCCACTTCGAAATTGCAATTTTGAAGTCAAGAACAAAGGTTCGTCAGCTATACTGCTACGCTTTAAAGTGATAACATCGCAAAAAAGGGTAATCCGCTCTGTTGGTACGTGACTTGAAAACAATCAATTAAGAAAAAAGCAAGCTAATATGGTGCCTTGAGCACTCGCTCTTTACTGAACGCGAACTAAGTACGATTCCATTCAACATTGTCATAAATTCTGTGCATATTCTATTTAGTCTATTCCTAAGCCCCGTTTACACTGGCGATTTTTGCGGCGATTTTTGTGGCAATTTTCGGAAATATGAAATTTTTTGTCTCATCCTTCAAAAGAGACATTCGTCTAGGAAAATCTTGGAAACCTGAAAAAAACTTTACAAGTAAATTCTTTACCATTATTTATTATGGACAAAATCGCCGCAAAAATCGTCACAAAAATCGCTAGTGTAAACGGGGCTTTACGCGTGCCGGCTGGTAAGAGCAATATGCATTGCCAATATAGCTCTGTGTTTCATACCAACATATTCAGACTTACCGCTTAAAGATGATCGTTAAACTGCGCGTCAAAAAACTATTTTTGTGCAGAAATTTCGCAATATGTTTTCCATTGGGCATATTATTCATCAAGTACGAAGCAATTCAACAAAGCGTGGTACAGCTGAGCTCTAATTCTAATCGCAAACARTGCATTATCTTAGAACATATTTATTAACAAAATTTAGCTTTCATGTATATTCTTTATTATCATTATTATTATTATGCTTTTATTTAGGTTTTGTAACACTCGGTTGATTAATTTCAGGAATCCTGAATCTCGGAGTTTTAAGGCCTTAAGTCAGATTGACTTGCATTTGTTTTTCTTTCTAGCTCAAGTCAAATTTCATATATATTATATTTCGAACTTAATCAGCTCAAAACAATCAATCGAATTTGAATTTCTCAGTTTTTTTAATTTAAGTCTCTTTATATCGATATCGACCGACAGAGCTAAGAATCCCCCCCCCTCCCCCCCTCACACACACACACACACACACACACACGCCCCCCAATCTAATATAATAAACTGATTTAAGCCATAGCTTATTTGCTAGGTTTGTGCAAAGTGTAGACGTCTTCTATGGTTTAAAAGAGGCCTTATTCTAAAGTAGTAAAATGGAGCATAACTTTTATCCAAGGCGCGCGGTGTGCGTTTGGAGGTAAGAGGGGAGGGGGTAGGGTTAAGATGTTAATTTGCCGAACACTAGTTTTAGACGTCACGTGAATGCGCAAATCTAGCTTAATTATCAATCCAGCTTGGCTTTGCATAGACTGCGCCATCGTTCATTAAAAGGGGTTAAAATGAAAGTGCGTTTGTCAGTTCTAGATGAGGGGGGAAGGGGAGGAATTTCGTTTGACTGTGACAACGTCCCACCACGGAGCAGGATAAAGCTGCAAAATATTTTTCGGCTACGTTAAATTAAGTTATATCAGTATATGTATATATATATATATATATATATATATATATATCACTCCAAGTTAGAGCAGAAAATTAATGAAGCTAGTCTCAGCAGCCATACATTGTCTTTGAACAGGTGCCAAGGATATTCAATAATATTTGTAAAAATCCTTTCATTTGAAGTCAAAAAGCCGAACCAAAGGCTTATTTCCTTATCAATCTCAGCGTAAAGCCTGGCACAACCTCAATTACCCCACAACAAAACCACCGTCTTCCGTAAGTAATTGAAGGAAAATATATAACAGGAAATAAAGAATTAACCCGATAAAGATATTTATGTGGAAAGCCTTTAAAATAATTGAGGCTTGAAGGAAAACTATCAACACGTTCTAAGCTGCAGCTAAAAACTAGCTAAGCTCGTGGTTTTTGGCTGATTTTCAATCCTCAGTGAATAAGTTACGATTTCTGCTAAATTCTGTATGTCGACATGAATAAGACACGAATAATTTAAGATACGATAGCTAGCTGCATGGACATTCAGAAGTAGTGGCTTCTTAAACTTAATATAAGGTAAGCCGCTTGAGGAATGCAAAAATCTTCAATCTTGTTTAGTACGACTTACATACATACATCTATTTCAAAAGGGATCAATCGTAGTTTTATAGGTGATAGGTTATTCTAAGATGGAAAGGATACAGTGTGCATCAAACAACCTTAAACACAATGGAGGAATTTATCTGCAAATAGCACTAGATATCTGACACTATCCTCCTCCTTGTCTTGACGAGAACAATAATTTGAAAAACACAAGTCATCCCAGCTTTTCTTGAATCTTGAGATGACCAATTGCAATCTTCTATCGCCTATATATTGGCTCCGACCTCATTTTGTGAAGCAGGTACATTTTTCCGAATGCAACGAAGTCTACCACATGCACTAATATGCGCTTCCCTATTCTTTATTAGAGCAAATTTTAAGGTTACAAATTTGCTTTTTCTCGCGATTTTTTTATATCTTTTTACAATATTTTTGATGAAATATGACTTGCAAAATATTACCAAAGAAGCTGCTACTACGAGACATCTTTTTTAGTATTCATAAAGTCATTGCGTTTAATCCCATTCGCTTTTTCGAGTGTTCCTCAAAATCGGGATCTCATACTCATACTAAAGCCATGAAGAATAAGATATACATTCAGAAATGCGAAGATATCCGAATTTTATATCAAGACACTGGTTATTATTGTCAATCGCGATTTTAAAATAGTATCGCCCGAAGCCTTCTGGCTTTCCTGCTCTTTTCTAATCCTTTTTTTCTACTGTTATGACTAGATATGAGCAGTAATCTTTGGTCAAAATAGTTTGTATGGCAAAAAATAGGTATGTCAAGTATGCCATTAAACCTACGAATTGATCATTTGATTGAAGCAGCTTGACATATACATATAAAGAGTACTCAAAGTTTATACTCGATGGACGGACGGACGGACGGACGGACGGACGGACGGACGGACGGACGGACGGACGGACGGACGGACGGATGGATGGATGGATGGATGGATGGATGGATGGATGGATGGAGGGACGGACGGACGGACGGACGGACGGATGCATGCATGGA